ATGAATAATATGGCAACAATAAGACTTTTACACAATAATTGCTGACGGAAGTGTATGTGAAAAGACAATAGTTCACAGAAATCACATTATGCTAACCAATTGTTACAATGTAAACTGGTTCAGTCTCCAAAACATACTGGGAATACATACAGACATGTTTCCTTGGATCTTAACTGGAAATGAAACCTCTGATGTATCTGCAGCAAATTGTTGTTTTACATTTTCCTGTACTCAGAAAATAACAGAAAATCTGTTCATTCTAAAAGCACTTATAATAGAAACCATTGGGCAGGTGGTGACACAGGTGCCCATTGACTTCAATTATAAGTGACTTTTAAGTCTAAGTACAAAGAAGCTTGATGGAATTATTATCTGTGGAAAATGACTATATGCTATGGATGCTATAAACAGAAATAATGTTGAAAAAATACTGCAGTATACATTTAACCCCTTCAAATCCCAGGCTTATTACATACTAAGATTTATTATTGAGTAACTCCAGGGACCTCAGTGCAAACTGATTGAGCTGTTCTTAGATCATAGAAGTGTGTAATAAAACTTTAAGGGGTTAAATGCAAGGATGCTGACTGTTTCTAGTAAGTAAACCTGAGCTGATGGATACATAAACCTCAGATCACTGTTTCTGTATGAACGTAGCCCAGCCTACATTGCTCTCCCTCCACACTGCTGTAATTACCAGCAGCCTAAAATAGCTGGATTTATGCTGTGGTATGAATTCAAATAGGTGCAGATTTACATGCCCATGTCTCCTGTGTGTTTATTGTCTCACTGCTCCATGAAAGTTGCTCTCCTCTGCTTCTAACCGCCTCATTCCCTGAGCTGTCATTCGTTAGAGCATAGGCCCCATCAGATTAATCTCTTCCCATTGCATTTGTACAGGTCTCTTTAGAGATTTCCACAAAGAAACGACACCTCCGTCTCCCTCGCATCCCTCGTCTCTCCCTCACCACCCATGCATACACACACACACACACACACACACACACACACACACACACACACACATTAACACATATACACATGCCTTGAGCTGTCTTTCATATACATACACTCTCTCAGTTAACTCTTCTCTGAAGTTTCTTCAATGCAGGAAAGCAGTGTTTTTTTATACCACTTCCACTGGATTGCTGCTTACAGTGTCAAACAGCACAAAAGCAACAGTCTGTACTCACAGCCTCTCCCACGCTGGACAGCAGCAGGTCCTTCACACTAAGCTGATAAACCGAAGGGGTTTGTGGACTCAGTACTACTGTTGGAACACACTCAGGAACCACAGGCCTGTATGAGAACATACTTGACTCCCAGGAAGCTGCATGGACACACACACACACACACATATGTTTTTAAACAATGTCAGAACATAAGGACACATATGTATTATATATGTATGTACCCATACATAAATATAAAGAACTTATATACAGCTGACATTTATACGTATTATTTATTCATATTTACATATGTATTCACTGTTTTTCCGTGGTCAGGACCACCACAGAACAGGTATTACTTGCATCTCAGTGTCACTGTGGAACTGAGAATAGTCCACCAAAAATATCCTGCCAAATGACCACTGAAGAACAGGGTAAATGGGGGTAACAAAGTATGCAGAGAAACAGATGGACTACAGTCTGTAATTGTAGAACTATATAGTTCTCCTCTATGGTAAGTGGAGCTGATAAAATGGACAGAGAGTGTAGATACAAGGAGGGTGGACAATACATACATCTATATCTATCTATCTATCTATCTATCTATCCATATATATATATATATATATATATATATATATATATATATATATATATATACATATATATATATATACATATACATATATATATGAATGATAGTAAGATAATTAAGGCATGCCTTATGACTAAGTCATAGGGGGAATGAGATCATTAAGGCATGGCCATAATTAATAAAGCGTAGGAATGAGATAAATATGTCCATGACTTAGTAAGTCATGGCAATGAGATTTCCAACTTAGTAAGGCATGGAAATTAAGGAACATTGGACAATTAAGTCATTACACACAACTTAGTCACAACTTAATTATCTTGTTCCCATGCCTTACTAAGTTGTGGCCATGACATAGCTATCAGAACTTAATTATTATCTTGTTCTCACACCTTACGAAGTCATGGTTACAATTTAATTATGTCATTCCTACACCATTCTACATCATGGCCACAACTATCACAACTTAATTATCTCATTCCCATGCCTCACTAAGTCATGACCACAACTAAATTTTATCATTCCCACACCTTACTAAGTTGTGGCCACGACAACTTAATTATCTTGTTCCATCGACTTACTAAATCATGGCTATGACTTAATCATTCCATTCTCACGACTGACTAAGCCGTGGCTACGACTTCACTTTGACAATTATCTTGTTCCCATGCCTTACTAAGTCATTGCCATGACTTAATTACCACATTTCCACATCTTCCTACATTGTGGCAACAACTTAATTAATTTGTTCCCATGCTTTGCTAAGTTGTGGCCACACATTAGGATGCTGTTCTCACATCTTGTTGTAGGCATGCATTGCTTTACTAAGAAGGGATGCCAAGTCTTAGCATGTATGTTAGCATGCATGTAGAATATATGTATTAATATTCCTATTTGACTACTTAATCACCTCATAATTCAAATGATATCATGACATTCTTACGTAGGACAAAATGTAGTGGATTTGAAACTCATCGGTAACCACAAAGGGCCAATTAGGGACAATTTTTTAAAACGTCATCTGTTTTTCCCACAGAGAAAAACAACTCAGGACTGGATTAATTATCATGTTCCAGCAATTCAACAGGACATAAATGAAACAATGTCATTTGCCCAGGGGCTAAAGAATAAATGACTTGAGAAGACGAGAGATGACGTGATTATTCCAGGCAACATCAATGGTGTATTACATCTGGAACAAAACTCTGCAGGGCAGCAGGACTGCAACAAACCTCCTCAAGGTGGTAGGGCCGGAACAGCACTCTGCATGGTTGTTTGATTGGAATGAAACCCTTCAGGGCAGTGTGGTTGGAACAAATCTCTGCAAGAACACAGCTCAGCAACCCTGCTGTAGGACAATATAAATCTAACCCTCCCATTTGTACATGCCATTTTGTCATGTGCTCACAGGCCATGTGCAAATTGGTTTTTGAAACCCCAAACAATACAGTACATATTCAACTCTCTGTAATTCTCTGTAAGTCATTACCCATAAAAAAGCCTTTGAGGAACACTGTGATTTTCCTAAAAAGAAGAGCCTATCAAATCAGAGTCTACACTACCAGAGCTGTAACATCGTAATCATTTTGATTCTTCTGGTGTCCCAGAAAGACACTATAAATATCCAGTGGTGCAGAAAATAAAGCTGGAAATGTGCCTTTTAATCATCTTTCTTTTTTGTGCAAAATGGTTTAGTAAAGCAGTAAAGGACAGGTTTCACTTCAAAATGTTCACGTATACAAAGGCTAAAAAAGGTTCTTCACACTCAAGTGGCTCTTCAAAGAACCATCCACTGTAGATTAAAAAACTCAAAAGTGGTTCTCCTATAGTAGGGGTGTCCAATCTTACCTGCAAAGGGCCAGTGTGGCTGCAGGTTTTCATTACAAGCAAGCAGGAGCTCACCTGATTCCAGTTCTTTAATCAGCTGCTTTGAGTCAAACAGCTGATCATGTGATCTCCTGCTTTGCTGGAATAAAAACATGCAGCCACACCGGCCCTTTGTGGATAAGATTGGACACCCTTGTCCTATAGCATCATGCTAAAGAACTCTGTTAGGCACCCATAGTTTTAAAAAGGACAGATCACATTTACACATTTACATTTTGTTTGTAGTTTGTGTTGTTTGGTGTACAAAAAACAGACATAATTCATCTTTATAAGACTTTTTTGCAGCCCTTCTTTACACCTTAGTTAATTCTAAACAAGTTTACAGTCAGATGCAAAATTTGAACACCACAGATTACATTTTGTTAATTTTAAGTGAGGATAAGTAAACACACACTTAAGTATGGCATTTTCTGCTATTTTTAATGCACTATTTCTGTTTATTTACTAAGGAATATGTAGGGGGAAAAAGACAAAACATTAAATGTGCCATAACTTTTGCACATCCCACATTTTATGGTTTTAAATTCAGCAAATAAACAGTAATTGTGCATTAAAATGTGCATAAAAAGTGTGTTGTCTGTAGAGGATATGTTATTAACTTATTTTCACTTAAAAAGCTAATATTTGCCCAGCAGTGCCCAAACTTTTGCATATGACAGTATTTTTGTCACTGTGCCTTTAAGACTGATATATGTAAATGACATCTGTTTTGACTGGCTGCCCTGCACTGCATCCCATCTGAAAAGCAGTCCAGACCGAAACACTTCATATAACTTCTATGTGAATAGGTGGGACTGAACTGCTGTGGGCGGAATAGATGGATAGATGTAATGTACTGTTTTTTGTGACACCACAAAAACACTGAATTCAAAACGGGAATGAACAGTACATTTGTGTCATGCATCCCTCCAGCCCTGGACAAGTTTCTGGATGTAGGCAACATCAATGTTCTGCCACTCTTGCATCAAAGAACCGCGCAGTTTGGCCAGATTTAGAGGACGCCTTGCCTGGCATCATACTCATTGTTCCAGATAGTCCCACGAATTTTCAAAAGAATTCACATCTGGGGATTTTGTATGGCCGGTCCAGATGTGTGAATGCTCCTGAATGTTCATCATGTCAGTCAGTCACATTTGCAGCCCTGTTAAAGCGAGAATTGTCATCTTGGAATACTGGGACAGGAATGTTATGTTCCTCTGTAAGATGATGAGCAAAAGGCAAAAGCTGTTGTCCAGCAGCTCAATGTTGGCACTGTGGTTCAAATTTATTGTCACCTCAACCAAAGGACCCTTTTCTGCATAATTAAAACACTCCCAGTACATCAAAGAGCCCCCTCCAGCTTGAACCACACCTTGCACATAGTCCTCATTGAAGGCTTCCTGAGGTCTTCGATGAACACGCAGGCCTAGCATCGCTCACATACAGGCAGAGACGAGATTCATCTGACCAGATAACATGTTTCCAGTCATGAACAGCCCAATTTTTGTGTCTCTTCGCCCACTGTAACCGGGCAACTTTGTGAGCAGATGTGAGCAAAGGCCTCTTGCATGCCACTGTGTTCCATATGTTCATAGTATGCTGTTCCCTGTGGAGTGTTCTTTCAGAAATTGATTGTGAGGGACCTGTATTGACTTCTAGAAGAAATTCTCTGAAACACGCTGGAGGTCCCTGTACGTCAGTTCTGCCACAATTAAGACGAGAATTTCCTGTAGACTGGGATTTTTACCACTGCTGATAGACCTGTATGACCGTAGGCTTCAATACACCTGCAATTTCAGCTACTTCCTTCACACTATGAACTTTGGCACACCTAAATGCAATCACTCTGTTTTGCCAAACATTAACATCTGCTTTGCAACCCATTTTCCTTACATCAGACAAGACATTCACTGCAGTGTACCACCTCTTTTCAAATCTCCTTATTAATCATCCTTGTGCAACTCCATCTGCAGGAGACTGAATTACTACCACCTTAAACGCGCAAGGTGACCAATTTTTTGTCCAGGGAGCTTATTTAAATCCTGGCTTTAGCTTAGCTCAGTGTGAGGTATTCTTTCACAGAGCTGCTGAGCTTTCTGCCCTGTGTTTTGGTTGACATCCTGTGTACCTGATTGATCTTCTGTATTTATTGACTTTGCCCTTTTGCCTGCTCTCTGTTTGGATACTGTTTGCCTGGACTTTCTTCTGTTATGTTTATCTCTTGTTGTCTCTGGCTCATTTTGGATCTGACCTCTGCCTGCTTTTCAACCACAACTTTGGATCACCTCCAAGCCAGTAAAGTTCAAACTTTAACAATGTTTACATACTACATCAAACTATTTCAAAAGAGTGACAAAATCAGTTTTCCGTGATATGGGCCCTTTAAGAATCCATGCCACTTACTCATAAGAGAAAAGCATTTCTGAATTGTTTTGTGCTTACTAAGACCGAGAAATCTCATTTATAAACCTGTCAAAACGTATCATGTGGTGAGAATAAAACCAAATCCCACTGGCAGTTTCATTTCAAAAGCTAAAAGCAATTGTTCTTGTTATCATAGAGTATGTCACACTTCAAAGAGCTTTATCTCTGAGAACATTAGTGAAAGACAATGCACACAAATAAGAAAATGTTCTTTTTGGAGTGAATTTTCACTCTTTCAGCTCTTTCTGATCCTTTGCCACTCTTCTGGAGCCTAAAATGAAAGCTCCCAATTAGCGCATCCACTGCTGCTGAACGCTGCATGCATTGGGTACATTACCATAATTGCTTTGAACTTCAATTATATTTCATAAAATTCTTTGAAGAAAAGTTCCTCACCCACATCAATGGACACATCTGGTTCTGCTGAGCTCATGGTGGTTCCGGCCTGCTGTTGCTGCTGCAGTTGCTGCTGTGGCTGGGCCTGAGGAAGAAGGTGCTGAGGGTGGAAGAAGGAGTGGAAGAGTGGGCTGGAGGGAGGAGGGGTGTCCCGCTGGTCTGATGGGGGGTCCTCACTAATGCCACTGTCGCAGGGAGATGGGGCCCACGGTGGGGAGCCGGGGTCCGACGCACGCTCAGACACACACAGCAGGGAGTCCAGGAAACGTACAGCTGCATCTTCACTGTCACACATGAACTACACACACATATACATACTATTGTACTATTACTTGTGTGAAGTTAAAGGGGAATTCCACCAATTTATTAAAAATTCTGTATAAACAAATTCATTCAGAGTGGTTTGATGTGAAATGGTTCAAACTTATTGACTCGGACCCCTTTACAGTGGCGGTGATAGGAACCAGGGTTCACAATGTCTGCAACACAGAGATAATCATTTTATTTACTATTCAAAATGACCAGTGAACCTACACGTCTTCTGGGTTTTTACACTCTGTGTCTGATCCATTATAGAAATAAGTAATAACTTTCATCATAAGTTCTGCTTATCTGTGTGTTAAATCCTTTATCTGCTTATTCGTCTGTTTTCTCCTCTTCCTTCCACCTCAGAAACAAAAGTGGTTTTATCCTCTGGTGCGCAAATCTATTGCGTAAATAACGCGTCTAAAGAGAGCAGTCAGTGGACCAGCCAGTTCTCAAAACACAATGAAACAAAAACCAAAATTTCATCAGATTTCAGAAGCACAAGATGCGCAAAGAGCGAGAACAGCTATCAGAACTAATTCCCTGTGTGTTCTCTTTGCCGAGTTGAACAACTGCCCATCCTATACGGTCTGATGCTGTTGCTTCTTCGGCCTTGATTGGGTTCCCGCTGCTCACCAGCCTTCTGGACCAGTTTGACCACCATGGAGCTTCCTGCTGCACAATGCCATGCAAACCTCACCTGCATGAACTGACCTTTCTGATGATACTGCTGCTGCTCCTGCTGCACAGGCTCAAACTATTTAATTCTAACTATTGCTTCACCTGCTTTTCCCCTTTTCTGTATTTTAATATTTTATACTAACATTAAAACCTTATCCTCTGTTCATTTTGCTCATGTTATTGTTTGCTATACGGTGTCGACCAGAGGAGGATGGGTTTCCCTTTTGAGTCTTGGTTCCTCTCAAGGTTTATTCCTCTTGCTTTTAGTTTTTCCTTGCCACTGTCGCCATTGGCGACGCTCATGGCGTTGTAAAAAGCGCTATATAAATAAAACTTTGACTTGACTTGATTCGAAAAGAGGGCAGGTAGACAACTGCTGACAAGTTTGTTTCAGAAAACAGGTGAGCCCAAAGTGCCAAACTGTAAATATGTTGTGGTAAAGTAAGCTAGCTTGCTAACAAGCGATTAGCCTAGTCTAAGTCATTCATAACAAGTACAAGTTTATAAAGAAGCAGAATTTGATTCAGTGCAGATAGCCAGCATTTTCTTCATAGTTAATGTAACAGACTGTGTTTTCGTGATCAGAACACAGCAAAGTTCAGCCTCAGCCCAGCAGCTAACCTGTAAAATGCGTACTCTTAGTTCCAGAGGGAGTCACTGAGAGAGCGAAGAGCTATACTGGTGTTTCAACTTCTAGTCATCCATTTGTTGAGCAGTTTTAGTCAAAACAACAGTATATATGTTTAAATCTTTTTTGCTTTGTTTTGTTCTTTGAATTTCCCTCTAATTACAACCCCATTTCCAAAAAAGTAGGGACGCTGTGCAAAATGTAAATAAAAATAGAATGCAATGATGTGCAAATCATGTAAACCATGTTTTTAAAGGAAAATACTACAGACAACATATCAAATGTTGAAACTGAGAAATTTTATTGTTTTTTGAAAATTATATGCTCATTTTGAATTTGATGCCAACAACACGTTCCAAAAAAGTTGGGACAGGGGCATGTTTACCACTGTGTTTCATCACCTCTTCTTTTAACAGCACTCTGTAAGGGAACTGGAAACTGATGAGATCAGTTGCTGTAGTTTTGAACATGAAATGTTTTCCTGTTCTTGTTTGATATAGGATCTCAGCTGCTCAACAGTTCGGGTCTCCTTTGTCATATTTTTTGCTCCATAATGCACTAAATGTTTTCAGTGGGTGACACGTCTGGACTGCAGGCAGGTCAGTTTAGCACTGATGCACAGATGTGCACGTCACCCATGCCATGTGCACTAATGCATCCCTATACCATCATGAATACTGGCTTTTGTGCTTCAGTGCACTGATAACAGGCTGAGTGGTCTTTAGCCTGTTCGACCTTTAGTCGTTCAACCACAGGACACTTTTTCACTTCCCCTCATTCCATTTTAAATGAGCTCAGGCCCAGAGAAGGTGGCAATGTTTTTGGATCTGTTTGTAAACGTTTTCTTCTTTGCGTTTTAGAGTTTTAACTAGCATTTGTGGATGCAGCGATGAACTGTTTTCATAGACAGTGGTTTTCAGAAGTGTTTCTGAGCCCATGCACTGATTTCCACTACAGAATCATATCTGTTTTTAATGCAGTGCTGCCTCAGAGCCCAAAGATCATGGCCAGCAAATACTGTTTCTTTGCCTTGTCCCTTGCATACAGGGATCTCTCCAGATTCTCTGAATCTATTAATGTTATTATGTATGTAGATGATGAAAAACAAAAGTTCTTCGCTATTTTATGTTGAGAAACATTATTCTTGAATTGTTGCACTATTTGCTTAAGCAGTCTTTCACAGAGTGGTGAACCCCTCCTCATCTTTACTTCTGAAAGACTCAGTCTCTCTGAGATGCTTTTTTATACCCAATTATGTCACTGACCTGTTGCCAATTAACCCCCAGGTGTTTTTTTTAGCATTACACATCTTTACCAGCCTTTTGTTGCCCCCGTCCCAACTTTTTTGGAGCGTGTTGTTGGCATCAAATTCAAAATGGGCATATATTTTTCAAAAAACAATACAATTTCTCAGTCTCAATATTTGACATGTTGTCTTTGTACTATTTTCAATGAAGTGTAGGGTTTAAATGATTTGCACATCATTGTATTTTGCACAGCGTCCCAACTTTTTTGGAAATGGGGTTGTACATTGATTGTCTTGAACAGGGACTAAGTTTAAGTCTAATCTTTTTTGAACTACAGCAAAAATAATAACTTAGCAAGTAGAAATTATCATAAATCTAGTTAATATATCTAATGTTTTTAATTTGTAATTAATTAACTAATTATTTACCTCTATTCTGGACATGTTTACTTGTTTTAGGTGATTTTATTAAGCTTGACAACAGCAAAATTATCTGCCAATATAGAGAAAAAATTTTACTCAAGAAAATTACTTAAAGCAAGTAAAAATGGCTACAAATGAAATAATCTTAAAATAAGGTTACAACAATCTCAAAATAAGAAATATTTGGCTATGTTCACATTACCAGTTTGAAGTGGCACAAATCCAATTTTTTGATCTAATGTGACTCAGATCTGATGTTTTCAGGGCTGTGTAGACACGCAAATCTGATCTTTTAAAATCTGACCTGAGCCACTTTCATATGTGGTCCTTGGTCAGATATATATCCGATTTGTGGCCATGCGAGCATAATGTGATGCTCAGATTGGAATTCATGTGCTTTTTTTCCGCTGCGCGTGTGCCATCATTCAGCGTTACCATGGCAGCAGCGCTGAACTGAAATTAAAGCCTGTAAACCGTGGAAAAGCAACACATCTCACTCTTTTTCGCCTTTGTCTCGCTCTAATAATGCAGCTGAGAGCTGTTCAGAGTTAATCTTCGCAGTGAAGGCTGGTTCTGCTCGTTAGACTGTTTGCTGATGATGGACGTGACGCATGTGATTCATTCACGGTTACTGAGTAGGACTAGCTAAAGCATATTTTTTTTATTTTGCTGTATTTGTTGTATTTACTTATTTATATCTCACTTCTGATGATGCAGATCACCAGAATTTTTACTCAGGTGGTTGACATTTTACATTTGGCTTACATCTTATAATCTGTCGAAGTTTTAGGTCTCACTTTTTTACAGGCACATCTTTTGAGTACCTGGAGCTTCATATTCAAGGTACATTCACAGGGACTCTAGCTCACTACTGAAAACCTGAAAGCTGGAGCGAGATACTGAAATATAGTTTAACAGTTACTAAGCAGTGATTGGAGGAGAAAAATAAGCTGATGTTAAGAGAAGACGTGGAGAGCGTCATAGGTATGATATGCAGTAATGCAAAATTACACCGTGTGCTAACAGTAAGTGACATACATGTACACTTGCACTTTGTCTCATCGCTGTTGGGCCTGTCTTTATTGATATGCAGGAACAGCACTGAACATATCTGGGCCACATCTGATACACCCTTTGCTGTGGCATTAAATGCTTCAGATGTCTGGTTCCTATCATCACCACTGTGAACAATTCTGACTGTGTAAGCTCCTGTAAAGCAGTGCATTTCATATCAAACCTCCTTGAATGACTTTGTTACATCTTGACAATTTAAGATGGTAGAAGTATGTGTCTATATGTGTGTGTTTTTAATTATTTCCATATTGACTCAGCACTAAATTAACTCTTTAACTTTTTATCTGGATCATGAAGATACCAAGATTTGGTGAGGTAAGCATTTCGCTTTGCTGTGGTGCATCCATTGCTGACACAGGCGCTCAATTGCGCGCATACAGCTTGTATAATCTCGATAGAAAAGCCAATAGAATGAGACGCTCTGGAGCAGCTGCACTAAGCTCACCGTGCCAAATGCCAAATATCGGCTAGAGGGGAATAAAGCCCCCAGCAATGGGCTGTGGAGCAGTGGAACTGCAGTCTCAACTACCTGAGACAGCATATGGCATGTCACATTTTTACAATTTATCCTTAAATCCATTTTTTTTTATTATTTCTTTGGCTAAATATTTAAAAAATAAAAACACAAAATGTGGCCTGTGCAAAAGTTATGGCACATTTTATATTCTGTGTTTTGTTTTTTCCAATATGTTAAACTCAGCAAAAAAAAATGCCATATGTAAGTGTATTCTCTGGATGTGCTAACTTATTTTCACTTTCACATAACTGGGGTGTTCAAACATTTGCGTACGACTGTACACACGTGTTCAGACCCAACGGCACACACATGTGCACTCACACACAGAAGCAGGTCAGACATGCTTAATGAGCCGACACCGTGCTCTAAATGAAGGAGCTTTGACTCCTTCATGCTGCTCGCACTGCGAGTGCGTGTGAGCCACTGAGGGACAGAAAGCTCCGCCCACTCTGCAGTGTCTGAAGAGCTGCCAGCTAAAGAACTAGCTTTGCTCAAGGGGAGCTACATAGCACGACTGACTTGTTTGAATGAAAGGGAGTTGGAGGATCAAAAACGAGACCCGAATCTGTACATGGCTGTGGTGCGCACACTTCATCTCACAAAAACAAATCAGTATGATTTTGGGTCAGGCATGTCATGTGCCATGACACTCACACTTTGATCTGTGATTGGCCAGTCTGGGTTAGCAAGGCCATGGCCCGGTCTCTCAGGATGACAGTTCCCATCAGTCTGCTCGAGGAGGAGATCTAAGAATTCCATCCCAGAGAAGCTCTGAGAGAGAGAGAGAGAGAGAGAGGGAGAGAGGGAGAGGGAGAGAGGGGGGGGGAGGGGAGGGTGTTACTTCTGGTGCTTCTTGGATCTACAAACATTCTCCACTTTATTAGAGAACCCTATCTTGTGCTTCCACTCACTGGACACTTTATTAGAAACACCAACTTTATACTTCCACTGGCCACTTTATTACAGAACCCTACCTTATGTTTCCACTCACTGACCACTTTATTAGAAACACCAATCTTATACTGCCACTTTATTAGAAACACTAACCTTATGCTGCCACTGGCCTCTGTATTAGAAATGACTACCTTGTATTTCCACTGGCCACTTTATTAACAATACCTACCTTCTACTTCCACTGGCCACTTTTTAGAGAACCCTACCTTGTACTTCCACTCACTGGCCACTTTATTAGAAACACCAAACTTATACTGCCACTGGCCACTTTATTAGAGAACCCTACTTTGTGCTTCCACTCACTGGCCACTTTATTAGAAACACCAACCTTATAATGCCACTGGCCACTTTATTAGAAACGACTACCTTGTACTTCCCCAGGCCACTTTATTAACAATACCAACCTTATACTTCCAGTGGCCACTTTATTAGAGAACCCTACCTTGTGCTTTCAAACACTAGCCACTTTATTAGAAACACCAACTTTAGACTTCCACTGGCCACTTTATTAGAGAACCCTACTTTGTGCTTCCACTCACTGGCCACTTTATTAGAGAACCCTAGAAACACCGACCTTATGCTGCCCCTGGCCACTTTATGGGAAATGCCTACTTTGCACTTCCACTAACTGGCCACTTAATTGGAAAGACATATTTTGTATTATTCACTAGCTGCTTTAGGACTTCTGTGTACAATATAGATCTACTCTTTAGGTATACACTGCTGCGCTGTTTATTATACCTCCTCTACCCCTCTTATCATTAGTCAGTTTCTGACCACATAATTAATGTTGACCAGATATTATTTTCAGAGGTGGATCATTCTCAGCACAAGAGTGACATGCCAGTGTTATGGTAGTGTGGGTGGTGCTGGTACGAATGGATCAGGCACAGGGGTATCACTGCTAAGTTATGAACTGTCCATCACTGAAAAATATCCAACCAAGAACGGCTCTGTGGTCAGAAACGGACCATTGATCAAAGGTTAAAGGGTGGTTGACACAATATGTGCATCATCAGATGGGCTACAGTGTCAAACTGTACACTATTTAGTAAGGGTTTCTGATAAAGTGGCCAGTGAGTGTATACGCAGTTCTCTCCTTTGAAAATAACCCATCACATCTGTATATCTGGACTATTGTTCATTATTTAGTATGCAACACTCAATCTGCCAGACTACACAATCTTTCAGTCAGACTGAAATTCACTGTTCCTTTGTTCATCTGATTCAGCCCCTCAACACATCAAACCTCTCAGAATATGTGCACATCACTTGTTAGTTTGTGTTGTATTTTTTCACAGTTATGAATGAATCAAAACTAAAACCCATGCCTGAAGTTACACTTCCCAAGCCTTAAATCTACTCACATATAGTCTTTTTGCAAATATAAACTGCATTAAAAAATGAGTCATCAGAATTTGAGCTATTAAACAGAACATTTGACACTTGAAAAAGCAGGCTTAGTTTATTCCATTGTAATCAGAAATTACCCACAATCTTATTCTTAATAGAGAGAGAGAGAGAGAGAGAGAGAGAGAGAGAGAGAGAGAGATGTACTCAAGATTGTGTAGTATTAAAGAATGGAAAATCATACTGACACTTTTAGAAAATGAAGCACTTTTAAGCAGTTGAAAAAATAGTTACAGTCCATTAAAGTCCATTACTGTAATAGTGCTGGATTAGTCATTAACCTAAATCATATTATTCACACACACAGAGAGAGAGAGAGAATAGAGAATGCATGAGAGAGAAATAGAGGAAGAGATAAAGAGATACATTTATATGTACAACAACAACAGTATATGGGTAGATATGCATATATATATATATATACATACATAGATACATATATCGCTGCTGTTGGAACAAAACCTTGTATCTCCAAAATGGTAACTTTACAGGAGAAGGAAAAAACATACTTTACTTTCAATGTAAGTCAATGGAACCAGACATTTTTACATGTAATTTGGGGTCATTTTCTTTGGTCCATTCATCATGAAGTTTACATATAATGTAAAGAGCAACAGGCACCTTCAAATCATGTCAAATGGAAATACAAGATTTTGCTCTGATATATATATATATATATATATATATATATATATATATATATATATATATATACAGAGAGAGAGAGAGAGAGAGAGAGAGAAATATAGATATATACACACACAGCAATAGAGAAGGAGAGAGAGAAACAGAGAGAGAGAGAGACTGCATTTATCAGTGGAACGAAACGTTCATTCACCTTTAGAGTTCTCTTATCTTAAAGTGGGAAAATGATGAAACACAGGGAGAGTTGTGATTGTGGGGTAAATCCTCTGAGAGCAGGGCTGCTGGAAGCCATACGCTCTGAAATCACAGCCTTTTCTCTCAGACCTATACCTGAGCCCTTCAGCCCTTAATAGAAACCTCCTATTTACTGCACAGTAAAGGACTGAGAAAGTGAGCCAATCGCTGCAGAGAGACACTTAATGCAGGACAGGAGGAGAACAGATCTTCTCTTTTGACACATTTCTGCTCTTGTTGCTATAAATCGTGGTGCATTTTCAGAGCAATAACATTAAGTATTTATTTGACAGCATGGGGTGTGTGCTGGATCATTACTGTGACATGCAGGGGGCCTAAAGTTGACACAGTGCTCTGCACAGCAGCTGTCACTAGTGTCATAATGTCTGTGACATTACAGTGTCAAAAAATAGTGAAATATGCCAATCAACATGGAATAAACTGCACGACAACATTCAGGCTTCACAGTTCAGATGGCTGCTACTACTGTTTTTAGCTTTTTTGGTCATTTTTGCATGTCATACAGTGTCAGAAAGCACATCAGCAAGTCTGTCTGAGATAAGCTTCCATTACTTGTTAGCTACATTAGCCTCGCAGCTCCAGTGCAAGACTAAAGCAAACTTCAGACACCAAATATGTCTTGGCTGACTGACTCCATTCTCTAGTTCTATAATATTCTATAATAACAGTAATAATAGTATAATGGCATTAATTTAATAATAGTTTGCATTGTAATCCATGAAGTTACAGGATAATACCATTTGTACACTGTAAAAGTTGAAACAGGCCAAAGGGTGATAACATGGTAATTACCTTCTTTTAGTTATAAACTTTAAGTGCCATGTTCATACTGCACATGCATGACATCGTCATTTTTAAGCTACACACATGCAAACTACATACATACAGAAATTAAGTACCTGTATTCAGTCCAAGTTACATGTTGAAAAGGCAGTATTTATAGTAAAGTTACCTTTTGCATTATTCGGACAATACTTTTAGAATATTTACTCACTTCAATTAGCAGCTTCTTTACAAACACAGAAGTTATTACTGAAGCCTGAGTAGACTGATAAACCAATGCGGTGATCAGTTATTAATCTCAGTGTTACTGAGCTCTACTAAAGCTTGAGTTGACAGACAAAACTAATGCAGTAATCAGTTATTAATCTCAGCCCAACTGAGCTCTGCTAAAGCCTGAGTAGACTGATAAACCAATGCAGTAATCAGTTATTAATCTCAGCCCTACTGAGCTCTGCTAAAGCCTGAGTAGACTGATAAACCAATGCAATGATCAGTTATTAATCTCAGTATTACTGACATGATTTTGTCAAGTGCTTTACCAAGATGTGTTCAAAATGTATTCTGAATATGTTACTTTTCTATGTTTTGTAACGGAATACATTACTGAATACATTTGGGACAGTGTATTTGGTAATCAGTCAGTGATTTGGATGCTTATAGCTCCTGTGATGTGTACACTGATGCAGTATGTAAGGTAATTATAGGCATCTAGATATGTTTTTGAGGGCAGTAATGCATAATTGGAACTCAAATATGACATGTCAGTATGGTACTGATCAACACCTCCAATCAATTGACTGCTTGTACACATGCTGACAGAATCTCAACAACATCGCCGTGGGATTTCCGGGTTTTGCTACTACTATCCAACAGCAATAAGACTGTAGGTGCATTCCAATCGCTCTGTATAGTCTGTTTTGGAGGAAATGCTGGTAAAAGCTTTACCTCTTTTTACATAGATCTACAGCAAGGGCATGAAAGTATAAACACATTTAAATGTTTAAAGAGTTTTGGCAGCACTTATTTCTGCTGTTACATAAAATGTTGCATAACCTATCTACAACCACAATACAAATGTCGCAGTTGTCCTTACTGATGACAAAATATCACTTGTGGATTCAGAAAGTGCATTTCCATTTTACCATTCTTTGCAGAGTTTGCCATGAATTCCCATGTGGCGTTTGCTAAGATATGATGCAACTTTGTCAACTGAGCCAGAGCTTTTGGGCATCAAATGCGCCGCTTATACCCTGCTAGAAAAACCAGCATGTGTTGTGTTTTGGACCATCACTATGCCGGATGACCAGCTAAATCAGCACCAGACTAGCATGAATCCTTTACACTGGGTCCAAATATGTTGTGAGGATACCTATATTTTTGTCCTTATCATTTAATCAATAAGGAACATTGACTTAAAGGATAATTGCACTCCATTCCATTTTTCAAAATTGGTGCATAATTAAATCTTTGCGATGTCAACAAAGTCATTCAGAGTGGTTTAATGTGAAAACTTACCAACTCTGATTTCTTTACAATGGTGGTGATAGGAACTGGTGGCCAATATAGCCATTTAATTTACTATCAAAAATGACCAGTGAACCCACATGTGGTTCCTCTGAGGTATGAAATGTTGATAATGGTAAAATAGTGGTAAATCTGAAAAATGAATTTTTCTTTGGTGACTATTTTGTCTTACAATGCTCTGCAGGTGCCCCTATGCCACA